GTAGCTGACCATAACTCAGACCTTCCTGCCCGCCCGGTTCAGTCTCGGCATTGCCTACTCTGAAGGTTGCCAGGCTGAGGAACGATTAGCGCCCTGTGCTACTGACATCATGAAAAGATGATGGATAAAGTCCTTCGGGGTTGATCAAATCCGTTCTGGGATACGCCCTGCATTCTACATCCATTCAGGATCGCGGAATGACTTGCTGTGGTCAGCTGATGTTCAGGCCAATGTTTTTGTTCTCTAGGGCGGATCTGGTTCCAATTATCCGACTCCGGAGGAATAGAAGGCTCAGTTGCCTGGGCGGGTATCGATCCTGGACTCGATCACCGGGCCAAGGTTATGATGGCTTGCCCCATTTGGGAGTACATCGCCTCCTCCCACTGTCATCAAAAACGGTAACAGAACTGATCAATGCTTTGATTTTAATAATGATGACAGAGCACTACGAAAATCTGTCAGGGTCATGCACTACTATAAAAAGGAACGGTTTGCAGGACGAGTACTCAATCAAACATCAGTTAAAAACCACATCATTGATGCCTGTTTGCGACATTCGATCGGATAAAGGTCTTGGATTACTCAACCTGAAAAATGCTGCCGATTCTGTCTAGACAACAGACCGGAAAACCTCTCTATGACGTTCGTCTAGAGTGACGGCTTGCAGGGTAGGACTTGCAGAGCAGACCGCCCATTGTAACGAAACTATAGCATTACCTAAGTAGAGATTAACCAGTACTGTAGGGTCATATCTTCTTGAGAAACCACGGATTTTTGGGGCCAATTATGACTCCGAAATGGAGAGGAAGCGATATTATTAGATCGGAGGAGAATCACTGAATAAGTAGCCCAAAGCACTCGACAAATTCGATAGGCCTGTTCTCAAGCAATAGACAAATTAGATAGGCCTGTTCTCGAGTCTGGGACAGATTTGATAGGCTGTTCTCGAGTCTCAGACAAATTTGATAGGCCTGTTCTCGAGTCTCAGACAAATATGATAGGCTGTTCTCGAGCAATAGACAAATTAGATAGGCCTGTTCGCGAGTCTGAGACAGATTCGATAGGCCTGTTCTCGAGTCTGAGAGCTATTCAATAGGCCTGATCTAGAGTCTTTGCAAAAATGTAATAGAAAATAATAATGGAGTCAACAAAAATTAGCAATTTTCAGTAAAATCGAGGAATAGAATAGAATAGCATGTTCAATAGGAGTGTGGGTCGTTAGGTCCCATCATGGAAGTGGTAGAAGGATGATGATGGCTCTTCCATGTTATTGAAAAGAGTTTGGAAAAATGCACGGCAGATTTCTGAGGATCAATTAGCCGCTGATGCTGTTTACTTAAGCATGGAGCTATTTATTTACTTATTTATGCGTCCCAGAAATGCGTCAACAAATAAATAGACTGGCCTAGTAAATAAAAGAAAACACAATATTGGAAGGCACAGTAGCTTCTATACCGATTTGAACGGAGCTTCTTAAGGGCTCAAGTCAAAAGCAATGGCTAGTTACGACAGCTTCCTTTCAAAAATGATAAGATGTCCCAGGAAAGTAGAGGATCAAATCCGAAAATGACAGTTGTCCCACATGGAAAGATCCACATCAGGGTGGGCTATATAACAATGTCTCATAATCCTCTTTTCCTAGGACAATTGAACACACAAATGAACATAGAAGCGTGTGGAATACGTAATGGAGCCGATGTTCAGTGGGCGCCCAGGAAGATAGCTTTTTTTGTAGGTTCGCCATCAAACTGGTTACTAAAGGCTGGTTCTAACTTTGTATATGCACATTAAATACAAAAATCAGTTTTAAAAATTCCTTGAAAATCAGTCCAACTGCATTCGATGATTCAATATTGAGTGGTAGATTCACAGAGAGGAGACGTTGAAGCAGCAGATAGGTTCCCAAGATAGGACTGGGTGCCTGGAGCCAATATTCCCATTTCTATTCGGACTATGTAAGAGTAAATAAGAGGATATAAAGAATTAAAGATTTTGGCCGTGATTTTTCACTACTGAGATACGCCATGCATTTGACATCGATCGAATGCGTTTTTACTATATAAACTTTTTTCAGGGAGCCAGCCGATACAATTTTAGTAAATGTACAACCCAGTGCTATTTCTAGTTCACCGACTCCGAAAGAATGAAATCAGGGTTAAGCAGAGGTATCATTGCCCTGGATTTTGTTGGAGTCGATGCCTTTTCTCCCCTCTGAGGGTGGTGAAACCTCAGGAGCTGATCTGGAATTAGGATTCCTCTACAGTAACTTAAAAAATATAATTTTTATGATCCAACTCATAAAATAAATGGATTGCTGTGGCATGATATACCTAACTGAGTCATCTGACCAGCGAGTGCCCAACTGTTAGTAAATATGTGGACAAAGCAAAAGTGCAGTGTATGCCTCAAACAATCTGATCCCCCATATCACGTACTTTCTCAATTGTTGCTGGACAACTTCTGAAAAGGGCATCTCAAAAGAATGGAACAACGTGGCACGAATTGTGAGTCAACACGGTAGAGGAACTTCTAAACAGTTCAGATTGCCGTAAGTTTCGGATCCCGAGCTCTATGCCATGGGGAAGATTGCAGCTTCCTTTTCCAAGTTCTGGGAATTCAGTAAAGTCGATCAAGCTCTAATTGTAGGTAGAGGGGAAGAAAATGAAATTTCGAACCCAGATGACCTCAGCTTTGAGACTGGACTTTTTGTTCCTTCCCCAAATTGGCACGGCTTTATTCAATGTTGAGGTAACTGCCTTCTTCATTTCCTTAAACTTAGGTGAACTCTTTTTCTAAGCTTACCAATTGCTCAATATCAATTAGTAAATTTCAAAACAATCAAAAATTAATTGTCGCCACAAATTGTCCGAGTAGTTGAGTCATTCCAGTACTACCACCATAAAGACCACCCAAAGGCCAAAAAGGGCAGTTTATCATCCTTCTCTAATCGCTTTCATAGTGATTTCCCTATATGTCACAATCTGCAGAGTCATATTAGTCCAATAAATCATAAGGACTACTGAATTTTTAATAATAATCACTACGTCACCGAGTAATCGAGATTACTGTGGAAATATGTACTATCCGAAAAAATGAGTTCAAATTTGAACCATAGATGTTCACCATTAGTCAGCAGCTGCATAATTTGCAGAGATATGGGACCCCTTGGTAACCAGTCATCCTTTGCCTTTTCTTTGGTAACAGCTACAGTTTTCTAAGTTTGACAAAAAGAAGTAAGTGGATGAATCTGACAGCTTGTAGGGCCGAGCATTGAAAGGAAATCAGATAGACTGCAACAAGGACTTATTCGGAACTCATAGGAAGTCTCACGCTCCTCTTAATTCCCGGAGATTTTTATAAAATCAGAACAGGTTAATTGAAAAGAAAAATTTTTAATGAGGTTAAGTCAGGATCGGTTGGGAGGCTCAACCCTCACAGCCATTCTTTGATTGCCTTTAGAGCGTACTCATATCATAGTAACCGCTTCTCAGCTATCTTCAGCGGGAGCTTCTGAAAAAGATGATTTAGAAACGTGAGAATAACTATAGGAATGTCGAACAGAGACAAAGGAAAGACTTGGTATGATGGTTAAGTACAGTGCTGGAAAAGCATCGGTACAGGTGTGAATCCCCACGCCATATCGCCCACAACCAGCAGATGGAGCTAGCAGGGAAGTTTGCACGACTTGCAACGGTTTTCATGCATCTTCACACGTATGTGTTCAAATAAGATTAATTACGACGAGATGACAGTTTCCTATGAGCTTGAAAAACTTGATTGAATAGTTGCTGAAGCCGATGATAGACGAGTTGATGACTGTACAGAGAATGATAAAGAGCGATAGATACCAAAGATGGCGACACTGCGCATACTCCACGTCCATTATCTTATCATCTTTGCAGGTTGGATGATCTTTATTGAGCAGAATGTCATCGGAACTCGTCATATCAGCTGAGAGTTGATCGAAAGGCCGTAGAGGCCCAGACTACGGAAACCGGCTGAACGGCGGGTGATAGAAATGATTTACGGATGAGGGAGCGGGGTGATAAATGAGATGAAAAGTGTTATTGGGCGACCGAGGAAGGTGCTGTATAGGGTAAAACAGGTCGAGAAACGGGCAGGTTGGAGAATTTGATAGAATGTCTGAAAAGACCACACTAAATGGCACCACACATCTTACTTGGCAACAAAACACTATGCAAAAGTCACGTTCTCACTTTTTGCTCCCCAAAATATTTTACAATGGAGATCAATGGGGAGTCCCGAAAAGGGAACTGGTTCGACTTAAAATAAAAGATAGCTATAAAGGATCAGCTATCCCAAAAAATCAGAGCTAATCTTCTTCTAACCATTTATAGTTAAAAGGGAATCAGTCATTCTTCAGGTTGGATTTGGAGCCAATCCTCTCAGCACCGATCAAAACTTTTTTTGGCCAGAGTCAATTTAGATCGATACGAAATTAAATACGGTAG